TTCACTAATGGAAGGTGGTAACTGGTCAACAAATGTTCCCTTCCTGGATCCCTCCTCATATACTCCTCTGGAATGTACTTTGCATTCATTTTTCCTCTTTTCCTGTTTCACTCTTTCCAGCTCCCAACTGTTTCCTGAATTCTGTAAATGAATGACCCACATGCAAGCCTTTGTCTCAGGCTGTTTTCTGGGGGAAACCCAAGTTAAGACAAAAGGTTCTTGCAAACACCGGCTTCAAGACCACTCACTAATTTTAGTGGGCTTTTGTTGTTTCTGTCCCTCAGTATTCACAGTTTCTTCCTATGATAGCCATAGCGTGAATCCCTCTTTTTCTAACTTAGTCCATGTGTCTTTGTTGTACCTGATTTCACATGATCCAGGTCACAGTCTAGATTTAGAGGTAAACATGTGACATATGACCCAATCAGATGCTCTGAGACTTTTACTGGGACTAGGACTCTTGCTCCTGTGTCCTACACTGGGCCCCTGACAGGCTGAGAGGTCTTCACGTGGGACTTGAGACTGTGGAAGTCAGGACTAACTGAAGGGGAAAAAGCCATGTTCGGATCATATTATTTGAGTCCTGAACCCATCTTTCACCGAACCAGATATACCCGTGAACTTTTAGTTTATGTAAGCCCATAATTGCCTTTTGGCCAAGCTGCTCACTAGCAATAAAAGTGTCTCGCCCATTCTTCCAAATCTTCAGGCTATCTAGGTCCAGGCCCTTTCCTGGATTAGTAGCTGTCGGGGCACATCTCAATTGGCATCACACTAGTATCCTCCCAACAACAGAATTAAGGAAACTGCCACAGGGAAATAGATTTTTTCCCCCCCATTGCCACTCATCCAATCAGACTGAACTGTTCTGGGTGAAATAATTTGTGGCACAGTTTCAATCTCCCCTCCTAGAGGAACAGCAGATTCCCAGTATCTTTGCTAATGAGATCATGGAAGCTGTGGCTAATGTGGAGTAATTTCTGCCTTGATGAAAGGGGTGGGCTGGCTGTGTAGTGATGGCTTTGGTGTGACTCACTTCTTCTGGAGGCCCAGTGTCCTCTTTCACTTTCTAGAATTACTGTTCTGGAGGAATGCTCTGTATGAGACATTATTCTGAGCCTATACTAGGACAATGCATTCGCAGCCCACTGGCAGAGGCTTAGATAATCCAGGTTCTACCTTCTGCCATACTCTGTACCTCAGATTTTACCTTCTTATTCTTATTTATGCTTATTTTGCTTTTCCAAATCCACGGCCTTCTTCCCTAATCTAAATCAGTGTTTTCTGCAAACCTGTATTTTCTGAGGAAAGATAACTCAGATTTAGAGGAGTTTTACCAGGAAGACCTTTTCCTTTTCATTGCCCTGCATCTCTACTTCTGCTTCTAGATGCCAGTGCATCTATAACCTGCCTGAGGGTGTGATGCAGCTAAAGGTTTTCTAGGCACAAGGATAAGAATGTCATACCAGCCTGAAGATGGCCCAAGCTATTGAACATCTCAGAGGGAAGCACATAAATCCCTAGAGCTTGTTTGCTCTCTAAACTGCTTCTAACTCCACATCAAAGTATCTGCCTCCTTAAAGGATCAGTAAATCCACATGCTCATGTCATCTGTAAACCATTCTCAAAACCTTTTCTCCATAGGCTGAACAATTTTGTAGTTGTCTTAGTTCTCTGAGAGTAGAAAGCTCGAGAAGAAGTGTTCAGTCACGCTGGGACAAATCCAAGGGCCTAGGGCAGACTGTGGACAGATGTCCTGAACTGAAAGGAGATGGCAGACTAAAGAAAGGTTCTGTTCATCATAGCAGGCTCCCTGAACAATGCCTTTTTCCTGGGGACCAGATCTGCCAGTACCCATGTAATCATGTGCTCATTGTTAGTTCTATCTTTTGAAGACAATGCTTTCCTTTGAGAAAGACCTCTTTATCTCTGGCTCCAGGGTTTTCATTATATTTGCCAAGGGGCCCTGTGGCTCGGTCTTAATTACTAAGTGTGCTTATATGTTCCTTGGAGTTATTGTTAATTTTTACTTCTAGGTAGAGAAGTATGTTGTGGCTAGTTATATAGCTCTTAGAGTGAGGATCTAGATATAACTACCCTACTTTTGTCTGTTGGTATAACTTTAGTAATCTACTTTTTGGCCAAGACAATTGAGTCCTGCTAAGAAAAAAGACAAGTGAGCAACAGGAGGAAGGAGGAAGTCACTTCCATTTATACTGGTGGCCTTGGACTGACTTGGTGCTTTAATTGACTTCTCTCAGGCCATTGTCAAGGGCCCCAAGCGGAATCCTGCTCTATTTAGGACCGCCTTGGGAGGCCCCAAATAGGACCTGGTAAGATTTCTTACACCTCCTATTTTACATAAACAAATAGTTGCACAATTCTTACAAAAAAACATGCCTCATCACCATCATCAGGCATCCCTCAGGCATTTAAGACTTAATAAATCAAAGCTCTCAGATTGCACATCTGACCTCACAGAGCAAGCAAGCTGCCTCAACATGGCCAGTTTTAAAGATTTCTTAGACACCCTGTTGCACAATTGTGATGTTAATCACCAAGTCCTCCAAAGGGTTTCCCGTGGTTGTCATTTTGTAAAGATTTTAAAGCTGATCACTAGATATTAGTGAGCACCTGCTCTGTGCAGGATTGTCCTTAGCACTGCAACACAACACAGAGGAGGCTAAGAAAGGGTTCCTGCCTTCCACATGCTTACAATCCTGACTGGGAAGCCAGGGCACAAAATAGACCAAATTTTACAATGATACAAGTGTTTTGAAGGAACTCAAAACTGCAGTCCCTGAGACATTACAAGGCAGCTTGTGTTTACTAACTAGGTTTACTCAATATAATTCATTTTTCTATGAGAAGTAAATGTGTCCATTGTTGTTTTACATAACCTTAATATTCATCACCATCCAAAGACAGAGATTTTATTTCTGATGGCGAATACCACATGATGTATTTTGCAGCTAAAACATAGAAACAAAGATGCTGTTGTTTTATTTACCAAAGCTAGCAGTTGATGAAACTAGATTGGATATTTTTATGGCCCAGGAAAATTTCTGAGCCACTGAGAGTACGCTGTTATATGTATTAAGAAAAGAAGAAATATGTGGTGGTGACAAAAAAAAAATTTCTGGAGTCAGATGGGACTTGGTTCACATCTAAGACTGGACATCTAAGTCTTGACCCTGTGTGAGCTCTGTGACCTTGGGAAATTTGCTTAATCTCTCTAATGTTCTGTTTACTCACTGGTAAAGCAGAGGCAATAATATCTTTCTTGCAGGGATTTTGAGGGGGTAAATGATGTAATGCATATAACGCACCTAGCACAATATGTGAAATCAATAGACACCCCATAATGATAGATTTTATATTGATATAACTATATACCTCTCAGTTGGCTCTTGTCAGGCCATTTTGATTCTTCACATGGGATGAGCAGGAATTGTGACAGATGTTGAGGGCTCAGGGTAAATTATGCTAGGCTATATTTGACAGGAGGTTATGCTGTTTTAAGTGCCGGATGTATAACAATGATAACTTAAGAAGGTGTTATTGGTCTTAATAAACTTTTAAAAATCTAGACTTTGTTTTTACTACTTGGTAATTTATAATGGGCAAAAATATTGTCTGTAAATTTTTTCTACAAATGAGATTCATGATGTCTTCTAAGATGAAAACTATAATATAGTTGATATTGCTGATAGCCCTGAATAAGAACTATGGTTTAGTCACAGAAAACCTTGCCTATATCATTATAGAGAGGTAACACAAAAGTATTCAGAGAAAGCAGTGGTTTAAAGTCTTGGTTGTCAGGGCCAGAGGCGTTTATATTACACAACATAAACAACTTTGTAAAAGGAAGTTATTGGGATACTGTTATGGGGTGAATCGTGTTCCTCCCTGCAAATCCGTATGTCTTATACCTAGTACCTCAGAATGTGATTATATTTGGGGGTTGGGTTTTTTTTTTTTTTTTACAGAGGTAGATAAGGGAAAATGAGGCCATTAGGGTGGGCCCTAATCCAACATGACTCATGTCCTTATGAGAAGAGGAGATTAGGACACAGACAGTTGCAGAAAGGAGACCATGTGAAGACACAGGGAGAAGGCAGTCATCCACAAGCCAGGGAGAGCAGTCTCAGAAAAAGGCAACCCTGCGACACCTTGATCTCAGACTTCTGGCCTCCAGAAGAGTGAGAAAATAATTTTTTTGTTTTGTTTAAGCCTTCCAGTTTGCTATGGCAGCCCTAGTAAACTAATATAGATACCAAGGTAGTCCTAAAGAAGTGGGAGCTTATAACTTGGGGCCAGGATCATTCCATTAAGATCTGGCCACTATTTTTCTTAAAGGAAGAAAATTCAAAAGGAGCTTGTGAGAGTCTGGTACTCCCTGAACCAGTGACTTGTGCTGCTGAGCCACACCCAAAATGTGATATTAAATACAGAAGTCTGAGAAAAGAGTTCGAAGTGTATTTTAACTGAAGTCATTTTAAATGGGTGGAAAATCAGCTTGACTAGCTAGAGGAATGAGACTTTGCCATTAAAAGAAAGATTGAAACCCTTACCATTCAAAATTTGGCTTGTAAACAACAGTGTATAAATGTGATTAAGTTCTTAAAGTGACTAGCTAGGAAGATCTAAATTCGAACCTACACTGTAACGCTTACAAATGGTGTGGTTTTGGTCAAGTTACTTAATTTCTTTAAGTCTCTGTTTTCTCACATGTAAGAAGGGGTACTTCATATGGTTGCTATAAGGATGAAGTGAGGTAATAGTGAGTTATTGTGTAAATGTACAATCAATATAAGCTGTTATTATTATTTATGTTCATATTAAAACACAAAGTTGTTTAAACAGTAACTTGCTGATGAAGAAGAAATACGTGTTTGCAGGCAAACTCTGAAAGAACTCACTTTCGCCTGCAGTGGTTTACACAAAGGGTACCAAAGCAGTGGATGTAATATGATAGTCTCCTCTGATTACTTCTGCAGTGGCCAATGTGGAGACCCCTGGTGGTTCTATCGTGATGAATTACCTTCCAATGAAATATCCTCATTGCGTGAAAGCCAGTTCACTAAGGTTAAGGTAGGAATACTTCTTTGGGTCAGGGTGGGCTGTGATTAATCACAGTGTTCTTTATTGATCCTTTGAAACTGTGGGTGGTTTTCTCTTCTCGCTACCTATCTATGTAAGGGCAGTGACCTATTTTTAGATCTCATATAACTCTTAGCTTTGCCTCTGTTATTATAATTCCAGACACTGTAACTTCCTTAGTTACCATGGCCTCACTAGCTCCTTTTACATTTTGTGGTAAACCAGTTGATCATCGAGGCTGCAGAAAATAAAGCCTGCAAAGCTAACGGCTGAGAAATACATTTCTTTCTCAAACCTTAAAGAGGAGCAATGACTCAGATCTGGGTGAGCACGTCACCCAGGGCCTCTTAAAGTAGGAATGTTTCCCCCACACACACCGAAGCTGTAGGGATTAGTGCTGGGGCCTGGGAGTTCCTGAAATGAGCACCTCCTGGACTTCACCAGGGCACAGCGGGGGGGGGGGGGGGGGGGGGGGGGGGGGCTGCACCTTCCTGGAGGAGGGTGGGGCTTCTCAGTCCCCATGGACACCCTTCCTGACACCTGCCAGAGTTGAGCTCCCTAGAAAGGAGAGGAGGACAGATTCTGGGGGTGGTGGAGAGAAGAAAGCAGGGTTCCCAGGCAACAAAGCAACACAGAGAAGCCTATGGCAACTCCAAGTAGCCCCAGGGGAATTGATGTGCTAGGGGAAAATTTCCTTGCTGTAGCTCCAGGTGTGGTGCACTTACCCTTCACAAGCCCATCAAATCCTTTCTGAGGCAGATCCTGCCTTGAATGCTGTGTTATATTCTCTAGAATATTGTCTGAACCTAAGACCCTAAAATCATAAATAATTTTCCTTCTTTCTTTCTTCTTCCAGAGTGGAAAGCCTTATACAACTCCTTTAGTAGAAATGTTCATGGAAATTTGGGGGCTACTTCCAAACTAGGATGATAATAAAGAAGAGTGCTGACCAGTGGCTCAGATTCAAGTTCAGAGGAAAATAATCTGAAACATGTACACTTCATGGGGAGAAGAAACCTGGAAAGCAGTAATGCCAAAGGGGAGCTGGGGTGATAGTGCACAGCCCCCAAGCAGCCAGACTGCAAGGAGAGAAGGTAGCATGAAAGGCCAGACCTATTCTGGGACACGAACCCTGAGTCATGGGGTAACAGAGACCAGAGGTGACAGCTGGTCTCCCAGCTCCTCAGTGAGCAAGCATCTGGAATATCACTTTGATTTTGTAAAGCTCAATTTAGGGCATAGAACCTTAGGGAATTTGGAGAAGGGCAAGGAGGAGTATGGAGGTGAGGCAGACTCAGGGAATCTGATGAGAGGAAAGATTAAAGGAGCTAAATGTGGGCAGTTGATAGCGAGGACGGTGGTAATAGTACTAACTCCTGACACCCTAGAAGGCAAGAATTATTTATAATAGGAGGTGGTATAATTAGAAGGTAAGAGATGGGAACTGAAAGACTGAATAGCAAAAGAAAATGCTCTGGCCAATTATATTAGCTTATATAGCAGGCCCACCATTTCCCAAGGAAATCCCGTGTGTGTGTGTGTGTGTGTGTGTGTGTGTGTGTGTGTGTGTGTACACCCCATTACTTGAGATATTTGAAAGTAGACTTTCAGTACAATGGTCTTGTGCTATTGTAAACTTCTCTAGATCAGAGACCATTGCAGCTCAAGGTGACCTAATCTATAAAGCCCCAAGAACAGAGTCCTGTGCAAATATTTTATAATTTTATTGCTTGTTCGAAGTGAATTATACCAGTAGTCACCTGACCTCTAAACTTGGCAACGAGTGTCTGCATGCAGTTTCTAGAATCCAGAGACTTAGCAAACTACCGGTAACCTCAACATGCTCCTTGACAATATAGGTTCCTTTCAAAAGATTTTGATTTGCTTCTTACAATCCATTTTGTGATGAGATAAGGAATTCTCCCAAGGCTGAGAAGTAGAGAGGGCTTACACCTCACATGGAGGAAGCATGGTCCTTCATGGTGGGTGCAGGGAGGCCCAGAGGGTGAAGTAGAAGACAAGGGCCACACTCTGGTAAAGACCCATCGATAACTTGGCTACGTGAATCCTAGAAGATGCTATGACATGTATATGGTTCCCATTCCAGGATTGGGGATCTGGTTAGTATTTGGAAATTCATGGAAGATGGTACTCTGTACAAACAGGGATTTGGATTGAGACTGAAACAAGCCTGCCTTTTGTTAATTCCAGTTTCAAAAAACAAGAGCTTGCTGCGAGGTTTGGAGGACAGCTGGGAAAAGCCTCTGGACTTGGATCCATGCAAGCCTTCTCAGACAGCAGGGGCCTATGGGGGGGCCAGACATTTTTTGCTGTCTATTTTTATTTATAAATAAGTCCTACCTCCCAGGTGTTGGAAAGCTAATCCAGGCTGACAGATTTCCTTACTTGACTGCCTTGGCTTTCAGTAGCCTGTGTCACTGCTATTAATAGTAAACTCTATATTCTTAAAGAGCTTTTCGGTCTGTTCTGCCAGTCCTGGGGCAGACCTTAGTAAGAAAGATCAAGTTGGGGTTAGGCTGGAGGAAGACAGAGCAATTAAGTAGAGGGGACGAGGAGGCACCGAAAGAAGAAAAGCCAGGAGTTTCTTGAGGGAAATTAACCTTAAACTGACTTTGAAACTTTCTTTGATATAATCGTCTAGCAATTGGTTTTAAGGTCTACATAATACAAGAATTTAGGAGCTCAACAGGACCCATGGATAGATGGAAAGTGATTCCAAGGACCACGATTAGTTGGCCTCTGTGAGAAGGGGACTCCGGATGATCGTGTTGAGTGAGCTTCTTTTCTGGCTCCCTTCTCCTTAAGCAAATATAAACACAGTCCTTTTAAAACAGAGCAATATGGAGCGTTTTGCTGGGCTCTTTCTTTGGTTTTCAACGTGCATTGCATATTTTGGGAGAAATTCCAGTTAATTTTAGAGCTTTTGTGTCTTGCTTATTTATCCTACTGTCGCCCAAGGTCTCAAGTGAAGTCTGCACAGTGCCTCTGAACACTTTAGAAGCAGATCTTTATTAATGGAACTCTGGGGAAATAGAATTTATGCTTAACTCCTAGTTAAACATAAAACCCCTTTTGCTTTAATCCTTGAGGTTGAAATCCATTTTAAAATGTTTACATTTGCTTTTATGTCTGTGCACAGTGCATGGACATGATCTAATCTCTCTCTGATGATTCAGCATCTTGCAGCCCCTCAGTTCTAGCAGTGTTTTATGGTAGGGTTAGAGGAGGGTACAGAAGGTTGGAGTGGGTCTGAGTCTTGGCTGAAAAGGTTCCTTTATCTAACCGTGTTTGAGTCCTGGGGCAGATGGGCATTCCTGGTTCAGCTCCAGATACCTGCAGACTGCAGCCCCCAATGTTGCCACTTCTTTAGTAGGTTCAGAGTGAATCCTTTGCTTCATGTTATCTCCTCCTAGGAGAATTGTGAAGCCCTGATAATGAAGACTGGGGGAAGAGCTGTGCCTACAAACAAGATCAAACCCTCACTGTGACTATTACCCTAGGGCATGGCCCAGTGCTACCTCACTCTCAGGCCTGAGGCCTCCTGCTTCTGAGTTTCTGTCAGGACAGGTATGAGACCTGGATGGGCCCTTGAAGCACACGGAGGCTCCCAGCTCCTTCCCAACGCAAACAGCGGAGGAAGTATAAATGTATCCGCTTACATGGGGTGGAGGAGTCACGCTGCAGTCTGTCTGGTGTTCCTTTGAGTTCAAGGAAAAGTGCCAGGTTGGAAGGCATAAATATCCCATCCAAAGACAATTTAAAAAAAAAATCTCTCCCTCCCCCTTTTTTTCCCTAGTTACCAGAGTAATGGCATTGTGGATCCCATGGGAAGGATAAGAAAATGGTATTAGGTCAGTCTTCCTATTTGCCTTGGCTTCTCTTGATTGTTGTGACAAGGAGGAAAGAACCCACTGTCTCAAAACTTCTGCACAACCTCTCCCAGCTACAGGACTGACCACATTTATGAAGGCAATGGCCAAAGAAATTAGAGCTGGGTCAAGGACAAGAGGACTTAGCCAAGGGAGCCCTGTGGTTCCTTGCTTGTCATGAATGATGTATAGAATGAGGTAATGCAACCAAAATTAAATGAGAGATGCACAGTCACTTTCCACACAGCTGGGAGTGGAGCTTTTTGATGACTATGACTTTTATAAATGTCCTGGAGCATCAGAAGGCCTGAATTCTAGAATCGCATTACCTTGCAGCATTATGTCACAGGTATAGCTGGCCCCCAAGGAAGTAGGGCTGTCTCCAAGGGGTAATGCCATAGATATCTTGACATTGAGAGGTTCGGAAAAGGCTTTTCTCCAGTTCTTCCTTCCTCCCCATTCGGGTATGGTCTTAGCTTCCAGGCTAGAGAATCAGCACACTTGCTATTGGAAATATATGAAAATCTGAAATGGGGCAGTATGTCCAGAGGGAAATAATTGGCTAAAGCAGAGTTTACAAAAAGAGCAGCTGCCATGATTCACTTAGAAATAGGACTTTTACCTGCCTTGAGCTTTCCTTCCCTGGAGGCTGGATGCCTGGTTTACCCTGGGTTCCCTTTTCCTGGCTCCTGGACTTTGTTCTGAAGAAGGCAGTCAGCGAGACATGGATTAGCCCTGAGCAGCCTTGGGCCTCATCTGCAAACTGAGAGGGAATATCTGCCATAAAGAGTGGTTTTGTGGATTGATGTCAGTGGCTAATACCAATTTCCCCTTCCTTCTAGTTTCACTCTCGTGTTTTTCTTTTCCTGTTGACTTTCTTCATTAATAATGCCAGTAGATGTTCACTTTGCAGCTGATAAAGCTGCTGCTTCTAAAGTGGACCATTGGCCTGCTCTTTTCAGAAACTCTGCTTTAGCCATTCGTTTCCTTTGGAGAAAATTATTCTCAGGATTACCAGAGAGAGAGGGAAAATAATCCCCATTATTTTGTGAATCATTTTGGATGCATATGATTATTGAGAAAGGGTAAGAATAACATTTT